GCATAAAAAAAAATCCTCTTTCTACCCACTAAGAGAGAATTTATTGATTGTCTATTGTATTAGAATATATTTTTATTCATATTCATATATGTACTTTATAAAATATGTACTTAACTAACAAATTTCTCTAATTGGCAGAATGTACTCCCTTTTTGTTATTGTTTCACATATAATGATGTGTTTTGACTCCACTATTGATTATTTTACCTTTCTTTTTTTCAGGTTCTTTCCAGTTGATACCGATCACTGGCAGTAACAGCCACACTCCGAGTAGCCATACTTCATATAGTACAAGCAACACACTGAATTCTCACTCAGCCTTCAGATCTCCTGCAGACCCCAAGGTTAAGTCTGAGGTCAAAGATGATGATGACAGTCGGGAAAGTAAATCGCCAACACCTTCTGTAGCCCTCACCCCTTTATCAACCAACATGGCTCACCATAGCCACAAGGCAAAAAACAGTAAGTTCTTTTTGCTGTTGTATCAGGAGTTGAAGTAGCATGTCCTGAAAGTGTCTCAGGAAAAGTGTTGTCCTGGAAAATAGTCATATATTTAAAAATTTTAGTCACTACACAGGTTGCATCCCTTCAAATTTGATTCATGTTGCTAGTTTACATTTCCCTTTTGTATTTGTTTTTCTATTCTCCTTGTAATGTGAAGTTTTTTCTTTGGCCAAGTTTTTTCTTTCTTTCTTTCCTAGTCCAGAGCTTCATGGTTCAATTTTATTTTATTTCTTTCCAGATACTTGTAATGGATCACTTCCTAAGCGGCCTAGACGCTGGACCGAGCCCATGGTATGCATCCCGTCCCCCAGTGTCTAGCCATGCCCATGAGTTTGCGATTGGCACGAGTAAGTCGGGAATTGAGTCTGTGTCCTCGTAACATGAGAAAGAATGGAATTACATCTGACATGTTTTTGTAATTAGTTCATTTGCCAGATACCTGTCACTTTTTTGTTGTATTTTATTTTTTTTCTCAGTATTGTATAATCTGAATTCTCTCTGCACTATTTCATTGAAATTTTTATTTTATTTAATTTATATATGTATATATGTATATATGTATATATGTATATATATATATATGTATATATATATAGTTCCCCCTTCCTCCTCCCCAATGAAATGTGGTACTGAGAACTGGCAGTATTTAGTGTACCACAGTGGTGTTATGCAGGAAAGTTTCTAGAGTGCTCCACCCCTCTTCAAGTGTTGCATTGTTGCAGGTTATAGGGGCAGTCCTGAGACCAACTGATCAGTCAGTTTAATAACCATTTGAGTATAATAGAGGACTTGAAATTGAACTGTTTTTGCTTTATGTGCAATTATATTTGTCTAGCATAATCTTGGCATACTTGCTACTAAGAGCTACTTATTGCCTACAACGTGATTCCGCAGAGGATAACTCTGTACTATCAAATCACAGATGTGTAAGTTATGTCATTGGGCAGGGCATAAAAAAAAATCCTCTTTCTACCCACTAAGAGAGAATTTATTGATTGTCTATTGTATTAGAATATATTTTTATTCATATTCATATATGTACTTTATAAAATATGTACTTAACTAACAAATTTCTCTAATTGGCAGAATGTACTCCCTTTTTGTTATTGTTTCACATATAATGATGTGTTTTGACTCCACTATTGATTATTTTACCTTTCTTTTTTTCAGGTTCTTTCCAGTTGATACCGATCACTGGCAGTAACAGCCACACTCCGAGTAGCCATACTTCATATAGTACAAGCAACACACTGAATTCTCACTCAGCCTTCAGATCTCCTGCAGACCCCAAGGTTAAGTCTGAGGTCAAAGATGATGATGACAGTCGGGAAAGTAAATCGCCAACACCTTCTGTAGCCCTCACCCCTTTATCAACCAACATGGCTCACCATAGCCACAAGGCAAAAAACAGTAAGTTCTTTTTGCTGTTGTATCAGGAGTTGAAGTAGCATGTCCTGAAAGTGTCTCAGGAAAAGGTGTTGTCCTGGAAAATAGTCATATATTTAAAAATTTTAGTCACTACACAGGTTGCATCCCTTCAAATTTGATTCATGTTGCTAGTTTACATTTCCCTTTTGTATTTGTTTTTCTATTCTCCTTGTAATGTGAAGTTTTTTCTTTGGCCAAGTTTTTTCTTTCTTTCTTTCCTAGTCCAGAGCTTCATGGTTCAATTTTATTTTATTTTTTTCTTATAAAGGGGAAAATAAGTCATATTAGGCAGAATCTGCAGTAAAAAATATTGAGACCGGGTCAGATTTCTATTCCACCATTTTTGCACAATTAGAGAAATTCTTGAATGTGAAAGTTGTCTAAAACTGTTAATAGAAGCACTGCCAGTTAATTGGTTAAGATTCATGTTAAAGATAATTAATTGTCTACTTGGTCCTTATATGATTGGAAAATGTAGACATGAGCAAAGTTTACTTAGTATTCAAATATTAGATTTTTGATTTTATACCCAGTGAAAAAGAAATTTAGGTTTACAAGACACCAGTTTAAGGGGCTGACCCTAAAAAATCTAATTTTCATTTGATTTCAAACAGATACCAGTTTTGACAATACATGATTTCCTTTTTAGCACCTATCCTTATCAAGTCATTACTTATTTTAATTTGGACAGTCATTCTTATTAATAGTATGTCATTATTTTTATTTCTGTTTCTATCCTAGTTTTTTGCACCTCTTTGATTCTTTAACATTCAATACATGTAATAGATACAAGTCACGTTATATCAGTGCCATTTGTCAGTGAATTTACATCTGCGTAAATTTGACATTCTAACATTTTAAACTTCTTATTTGTAATGTGTTAAGTGTACATTCTGTAAATTTGTTTTTGTGATTAATTTTGGCATATACCCTGATGAAATTGATAGGGAAGCTTGACCACAAAGCTTGAAAATATTTGTTAATGTTTCTCGTGTTTGATTTCTCTTTCTATTGGTTTCCTTTTGTTTATATTGTGTGTAAACTACTGCACAGTTGTATTCACATAATGTCTATTAATAATTACAAAACTATACTTTTGTGTCTTTCAGGTGAGCGTTGGGACACTAAAAAGGTCTGTAATATCTGTGGGAAAGTTCTCTCACGTGGTGATAAACTGAAGAATCACATTCGGACACATACAAATAATTTTCCATTCCATTGTGATACGTGTGGCCAAGGATTTCTCCGTTCAGAAGGACTTCGGGTACACACGAGAATTCACACTGGAGAACGTCCATATATATGCATTGTTTGTGGTAAGGCATACACAAGGAAAGATAAGTTGACAAGACATGCTATAGTGCACACAGGAGAAAGGCCTTTTGTCTGTCAACACTGTGGGAAGTCTTTTACTCGCAAGGATAAAATGCAGCGACATGAAATGATTCATAAAGTAGATAAGCCTTTCACATGTGTCCCTTGTAATGTAGAGTTTGTGAGACAAGAAACTTACAATGCCCATATGGAGAGGAAGCATCCTGAACGCCTCCCTTACACTGTAGTGCAACAGCCACGCGAAGGCAGCCCATCATATCATCCTCAAGGACTAAATCTTTCAAGCAATGCAGACAGTAAGAGCAGCAGTACAAACAGATCACAGAGCAGCAGCAAACACTCTACCAGTACTACTAGCAGCAGCAGCAACTCTGCCGGTGTTTCAAACCATAGTAGCTCTAACATTGGACATCACAGCACCGTCACTAATCTTCCAGGTGGTATTACACTCCCAGGGGGCTTAACCCTCCCATCCGGCATTACTCTCCCTGGAGGGTCCTCTATCCCTGGGAACCACGGCATCCCAGGGGGCCTCACTATCCCCAGTAGTTCCTCAATCCCAGGTCTCGCATCGCACCCAAGTAGCCTTCTAAGTGGAAGTTCCCTGTTAGGTGGTCTGCATGGTATTAGTGGATCCAATGCTTCCTAAAGATGCCAGAATGCAGATATGTTAATTTGAGAAATGTTTGTATCAGTGTATATAACTTGAGTGTGCGTGGTTGTATGTTCACACTTGCACATGCAGATGCATGCCAGCATGTGCAAACACACACAAACATGTGCACATGTATACCCACAGAAAGCCACATCCACTTAAACAGGTACATACACTCAAAAACACACATTTATACAAACATGCAAAACATGTATATGAACATAGACAGACACATACACTTATGAGTAGCAACCATATATGTACAACACTTACTCACATTCATAAATGGATATGTGTGTATTTGTAAGTACATGCATATGTATTTATAAAGGATTGAATTTTTTTAATATAAGGCCATATTCACTCCAGTTTTAATATGAACATTATAAACTATTATTCATACCAAATTACAGTGGTTGGAATATTTTAATAATTCAGGTTTCTTGTATATCAAAAAGATACAGCAGTGAGTAGTAGAAGAAAGACTGATAAAAGTTAACAATTTAACAGTGGCATTTATAATAACAAGTTGGTCTAGATAGCTGTATAAAGGTGTAAGATATGTAGTATGTATTATTTTTATCATTTGGACTTCAGAGAACTCTCATGCCATGTAAGAGGCATGCAGAATGTTGAACACAGTTTTAGAAAATAGAATAAGAAGGAATAAGAAATTTAAAGATTTGGAATGGAATTGATTTAGTGGTCTCTGATAGGTTTGTGGGAATAGTGAAGGGGATGACAGATCAGAAAGCTCGGAGAAATTATGCGAGGGATGCAAGGTTCCTTGGAATCTTAAGACGAGCCACTTTGGAGGTGATAAAAGAATATTTCTTTGTAAAAGATATGCAAAAATATTACAGTAAGGGTGAGAAGTGTTACTGAATATAAAACCAAAAATAATATTAAGCAGTGTGACATCTAAAGTATTTTATCATCAGTGCAAAAAAAAAAGTAAATTCGAAGAGTCGAAGAAGAGTAAATTAGATTTTTCAACATTATGTTCCTGATGAATAGATGCACAAAATAAACACAAAATAACTAAAGTTCCATAGATCATACTGGGTATTGTCTTTGATCTCTGAATTATTATAGATTATATATATATTTTTAAAACCTCACTTAAGTTGATAGAAAATTAGAAAATATGACTTAGCCTTGTACTACTAAGAATGAAAAGTCCAATGTCTGTTATCAAATAATTCCAGTTTTCATAAATTTGCATACTGGTAAAGGTTTGTATGCTAAATATTTATTTCCTATTGATAGCCATTTTATATCTTTGATGATGTAACTAACACAAGATGTACAGTAATACTTGGTAACTCAAGATTATTGCATTAGTGTGAGATTGCATAAACTTTGAACTTTCAGTGAATGTTCAAAGTTTTAGTTATGAATGCATGATGAGAATATCAGGAATGCCCTTTTTTTTATTCTAATAGTGTAAGAGTAATCTCGAATGAGGATGCAAACCTTCAAATGCCATAATCATTTTTAATTTGTGATTTTATGTAGTAGTATTTGTGAAAAGAGTTGAGAGGCCTAATGAACTTCCTATATTTTATACCCCATATTCTCATTCTCCCTCTCTCTCCCTCTCTCTCTCCCTCTCTCTCTCCCTCTCTCTCTCCCTCTCTCTCTCTCCCTCTCTCTCCCTCTCTCTCCCTCTCTCTCCCTCTCTCTCCCTCTCTCTCCCTCTCTCTCCCTCTCTCTCCTCTCTCTCTCTCTCTCTCTCTCTCTCTCTCTCTCTCTCTCTCTCTCTCTCTCTCTCTCTCTCTCTCTCTCTCTCTCTCTCCCTCTCCCTCCCTCCCCTCTCCCCTCCCTCCCCCCCTCTCCCTCTCCCTCTCCCTCTCCCTCTCCCTCTCCCTCTCCCTCCCTCTCCCTCTCCCTCTCCCTCTCCCTGTTGTCTCCCTCCCTCTCATGTTTCCTGCCAGCTGTCCTAATGAATATCATCAATGCCATCATGTATTTTTCCAGCTATCCTTTATAAGACTTTATTTAAAGTATACAAATTTAATTGTGTGCTTTCTTATGATACAGGTCTGTTGTGGAATTCTACAAATGCCTGTATATCTTTAAACCTTGAGTAAATGGCATTTAGATTAGGCATTGTCAAATTAAGGCTCTGAAGTTAATTTGTAGATACGGGAAGTAATTTGTACATAAATTTATATCATTATTTTGAACTACGGATGCTGTTGCCAAGTTTTGCTACTGTAGATCCTTCAAGAAGCAATTTCCTGATTGGTTTATATTAATTTGTTCTTAACCATATTTGTAAACAAGTTGATTTTTTCTTTCTTTCTTTTTTTTTTAACAATATATTTTCATTCACTGATAATTTTGCATGCAGTGAAATGTACACATGTTGGCATATGTTATGTTCACACATTTTGACAAACCTTCATTTATTGGAATACATGCAGGTGCTGACTTTTATGTTTAGTGGACATATTCAAATATGATGATCACATGTGTTGACAGATTAATGAATTAATATCTTGACCAGAGCAGTATTGAAATGCTCACTTGGCTAGATGTGTTCATATGTGCTGACATGTTTATAGATCTTTTCATGTGTTCTCTCTTTTGTAACTGACATCCACAGGTATTGATGTGTACGTTTGTTCTGACATGCTCTCGTGAATTAAAATGTACATATATGACAATTTAATTACAGGTCTTAATGTTTACATTTGTGCTGATATCTTCGTATGTTCCTTTGTGATCATAAAAAGTTTTCAGCCCAAACTTGGCATTTGATTGATTCTTTTATGTACAACTTTATTCTAACTAGATGTTTGTTCAGTTCTTCCCAGACAAACTTAAATTATCACGCCTTGTATGCAGGAGTGTAGCTCAACAGGGAAATCTTATGCAAAGAACACAATTAGTAAAAGTTTGGGTCTAGTGCCTGCTCTGTGTCTGGCCGCATATTTGTGGACAAACAAATTTATTTTTAAGGAAAACAGCATTTGCAAAACAGAATTATTTCACTCTGTAAGATTTATGTGAAAATGGAATTTCCTTTTGGATTGCAGTATACCAGTGCTATATTTTTTACTAAACTGTATAACCAGAATAGCACTGCTGGAGGTCTACATCCTTGGCCTCTCTCTTGACTTTAAGGACACTAGAACTAGTTAGAAATGATAACTTCTCATGTGGATTATCTTGTATATGAAACATTGTATAAACAAAATAAAATCAGGCCTACATTTAGTTTATTATTTTGCTCAAAAACTAAATTTTATTGATTAGGGTAGTGTTTCCAGAAGAAAAAAATCCCATTATAAAAAATTGCTGAAGCATCTCTTGAGGCAAAATTTCTAAGGGCACCAAAAAGCCTGTCCATATAAGTGGGCATAGCAGTTGGGTACAAGGATGGGCATGAATAGAGGCAATGTCATAGGGAGGCAAACTCCTTGGTAAACTGGTAGTTTCCGCATTGTTTTCTCACCTGTGATGTCGTCTTTACAGGTCTCTGCTGATCATGCCTGCTCATGTTTACAGGCCTTTAATTTAGATTTGATAAACATTTACACTAAGTTCTTTTATCTTAAGGAACTTTGCAATGTATTGTTTATTATTACTTTTGGCTAAGTGTTCATGTGTTTGAAGGTTTAGTCATAAATTTAAATATAGATCTTTCCAAGATGCAGGGTCTCAATCAGTATTAAAAAAAAAATGCAATAAGGTTTTTACCTGCATAAGCCTGCTCAACCCAATCAGCATGTATGGCAAAAATACATGCCATGCCCACTGTTATACAAGTTTATTGTAATTCCACAACTCTACAAGTGCTTAGTCACCAAGGAGTCAGTTATTAGTCCTACCTATTTCACCTGTTTACCCTTTTCCTTGACTCTTAGAAAGGGTCTTTTGCATTCTTTAATTGTCTTTAATGTTATCAAGATTTTAATAACCATTTATTAATCATAATGTCAATAACAATATTATCATTCAAGTTTATAAAAAAAATTGATTCTTGTTGGGTGATGATACTTCTGTGAGGAGAGGGATCCCGTAAAAATATCGTCATGGTCATTTAGTGCCTACTGGACCTATCCAAGTAATGGACTTAGCCATAGATAGTGTTAATGTGAAGATTACTTCTATACATTACTTATCAACCTTTTATGCATAATCTTCATTATAGGTCAAAGGCACCTCAGTCACCATACACAGCAAATGTTTGCTGTCCCATTTTCCTGAAAGTAGTCACACATATTTGGTCATACTCTTTATTCCACTTCAAACAATAAAAAATAAAAATCTATTTGATATATGAAATAATTAAGTGCATACAAATAACTGAATTTTGTATGAACATCATATATTTTCAATCATATTAAAGAAAACTGTTCCCACATAACTATGCAGTTTCTTCATACATGACAGTGGCCTAAATAAGAAAAACCTATTTTATACAACTAAAGCAACCTAGATGTACAAACCATATCATTCTCAAAGACCAAAAATTAAATTGCTTCAACAAAATATATATTCAGATCACAGCAACGAACACTAAACTTGTAAGTGGCTCATCATTTAAATGTTCATTTACAAACATAATAGAGAAACATACAAACACATGTACATTATTATTTAGATACAATAATTTACGCAACAATATTGGTTCAATCTGATTAATATATTACAATAATATGATATGTAATAATAATTGAAGCACTGAATGGGAATGCCTTTCACCTTAATCAACCAGTATATCTTCACAGAAAGGGGTGACAGCTGATAGGCATTAACTGCAGAATTGAAGGCAATAGCCAGTCCATTCTTATTTTGTCAAAACTTAGTCCATGTTATTTCATAATTCTCATCACTAATGAATTAATACACAGTTTTGATGACTGAAAAAAATGCATGAAACTTCAACAACAGTAGCGTATGCATTGAAATGTCTGATTCAGAATTAAGTGATGTTTCATTTTTTGTCTTGTTTAATTTTTTAGATGAAAATTGTTTTCTGAATGATAAAGAAGTAGAAAAGGATGAGCAAATTTAGTGTTGCATCATATCAATCAAGAAATGGTATATTCAAATAAAGAGCTAGCAGAACCTGTATAATAAGCCAATAATGGTGATGTTTTGCCCTGTAAGATCTAGATTCCTGGTAAATAAATGAAAAACTATTGTACATTTATTAGGAAACATTGCAGAGTAAACTAAAACCAAACCTTCATATATGAATCTGATTAGACTTACTGTAGTAGTACAGATTCTGGTGTAGAAAGGATAGAAAGGGAAGAGTGTAAGTGAGTGAGTGTGTGAGTGTGTGAGTGTGTGTGTGTGTGTGTGTGTGTGTGTGTGTGTGTGTGTGTGTGTGTGTGTGTGTGTGTGTGTGTGTGTGTGTGTGTGTGTGTGTGTGCACATGTGTGTGTGTGTGTGTGTGCACATATGTGTGTGTGTGTGTGCACATATGTGTGTGTGTGTGTGCACATATGTGTGTGTGTGTGCACATATGTGTGTGTGTGTGTGCACATATGTGTGTGTGTGTGCACACATATGTGTGTGTGTGTGCACACATATGTGTGTGTGTGCGCACATATGTGTGTGTGTGCGCGCACATATGTGTGTGTGTGTGTGTGTGTGTGCACATGTGTGTGTGTATGTGTAAGTGTGTGTGTATGAACTATGCATTTGCAATCACTTAAGACAAGTGACTGAACACCAAGTGAAAGTTAATGCTACTGCTGCATGGATGGGACAAAATGGCATACCTATTCTATCATTGGGGCTCCACCCAATCTGTTGCTGTTAAGAGGTTTTAGTCTTTACCATCAGCAGCATTAATGATCTATTTTTATTTTCAGTAGATTTTCAGAATTATACATTAGTGCTGACATATTTCAAAAGTGTATGTGTATATAATGCCAAGTACATGCCATGCCCAATGTGAGTTTACTTTATTAACTGTTTTTACACATATATGGCTACACTTGTACTAAGTCACCAGTGAGCCAATTACGAGTACTGCCTATCTCACCTGTTTACCCCTTTCCTTGATTTTCAAAAATATTTTACGTTAAATTATATTGAGGTTAATAATGTCAATAACATTATAGTAATTATAATGTCTGTAATAAAAATAACACCAATATACATAGCATCAGTAAAAATAAAATATATATATATATCCTGTCAATTGACTTTTGTGGCTAAGCACTTCAGAGCCACCAATGTGCAGAGATATTTTACAAAAATGAGCACAGCATTGCCCTGGCAGCAGTGAGTTAATGTTGACTGGTTATGAAAAAGAAATTTCATTTTATATATTATACCAGGACTCTCTCTATATATTTTTCTTCTTGGCTTTATTAAAGTATTTGATTTGCATTTATCTAAAATTCAATAGATAAATAAATAAATCAAATTCATTTTACATCTTTATACAAACCTGTTTTATGTTATGAACTTATAATATAACCTACTTGACTTGACGCAATATCTTTGTCAAAAATTAAAATGTTATCACATCATTAATCTCATATTTTGGCTTGCATGGGTATGACAACAAAACCAAAAAATTATAATGAGAACAGAACCTTAGCTAGGTATGACCTCCCACAGTGTTTGCAGAGTATATCCATCCTTTAATTTCTCAATCGCAAGTCCTAACTCATTCGAGAAAACAGTCTCCCTGTCGCTGTGTCGTCCATCGGCAAGGTAAGCTGCCAGGACATCGGCAGAATCATTGATGGATTCGTCAATCTCCGCTTCCTCCATTTCTGGCAAATCCAAAGTCTCCTCCTCCCCTGCAGGCTAGAAATGTGGAATTATTACTAGTGAATCAGTGCTCTTTTTAGAATTATCTCTATCTGTAAGCAAAGGTGTACCTATATATACATATATATATATATATATATATATATATATATATATATATATATATATATATATATATATATATATATATATATATATATATATATATATGATATAGGTTCATATATATTACCTTGATAAAAATAAACATAATGTGTAAATTCTAAAAGGATGGGAAAGGATCACTCAAAAATGAACAAGAATTTTTTTTGGCTAACTGAGCTAAGCCCTCTGAGGAATTTCTATTAATTATTATACCAAGTGTGTAAAGTGGAAGTCTCCCTCTATCTACAAATACCTGTTATAAAATAGTAATAAATTTGGCACTATTTTTAAAAAAATTATTGCTGAATAATCTCTTACAATGTGGCAGACCTCTAAGTGCACTTCTTAAATCATCTTTATTGCATTCCTAGAGAGGAAAATTAAAAGCAAGATTTGTTGCCATGCTTTGAAATTAGTCATGAGCAGAAGGGAAGGAAGTAAAGAATGTGAGAATTTCCATATCATGGACTGTATAGATTGATAAATTAGCCAATGTTAATGATTCATGCACATTACAGTTACTATTTGGTATCACATGCCATGGCAAATGATCCATTTAAAAATGGTAAGTTTGTAGAGAATCTTACATTATTTTCTTTCAGTTCAATTTCTACTCTTCCCTTCTTTCTTTTACCTGCCTAAGTTTTTATTAACGTAATTATAAATATTACCAGCAAAACCAGGTATTCAACCCTAAGTTAGAGAGATAAGTGCTCTGTTATAGCAACAATACAATATAATATAGAAATTCTGATTTATGTGACTACGAGCACTGTTTGAGATTAATCTGTTTCAGTTACATTATTATATGGAATTTGACATGTTTGTCTCTTCCTACTTAATCTAAAGAGAATTTCTTAAAGCTAATCACTTCAATATACTTGCAAAATATCATTGACCTTTATTTCTATGTAAAAGAGAAATTAACCTGTATATATTAAATACATTTGAAGTATCAATTACATACAATCCTAACAAGGTCACACAACTTAGTCCTCATAGTATACTCGACACACCACCTATCTGATACTATCCCATGTCACTTCTCAGTAAACATGAAAATCTAAAATAAAATAACAACTATTCTTTTTGAAAACTCCCATATTAATTAGCATAGAAAGTCTCATGCACTAATTTCAGCAGGTATCTGGTCAAACTGACAATACACACAACTTGGTATCTTAAGCCATAGAGTCAAAGTGGGTTATACAATGTATAATTGTGTGTACAACATTAGGCCATTCATTACTGTTGTATAATATATCCACTGAATATAAGTCTGGCTTGAGTATTCAACTCCTGATGATTTCTTGCTATTTCATTTTGCTTTAAGCTGATTCTTATTTGTCTAAATATGTTCGAGAGAGAGAGAGAGAGAGAGAGAGAGAGAGAGAGAGAGAGAGAGAGAGAGAGAGAGAGAGAGAGAGAGAGAGAGAGAGAGAGAGAGAGAGAGAGAGAGAGAGAGAGAGAGAGAGAGAGAGAGAGAGAGAGAGAGAGAGAGAGAGAGAGAGAGAGAGTCAGAGAGAGAGAGAGTCAGAGAGAGAGTGAGTCAGAGAGAGAGTGAGTCAGAGAGAGAGTGAGTCAGAGAGAGAGTGAGTCAGAGAGAGAGTGAGTCAGAGAGAGTGAGTCAGAGAGAGAGGAGAGAGAGGAGAGCAATATTAAAAGCAGGAAAGAGATAATAAAATGAAGGGAAAGGTCAGGGACAAATGGAGAGAGAGAGTTAGAGGATATGGCAAAAGAGGAGAGGGAGAGGAGAGGAAGAGGGACAAAACTAGGGGACAGGCAGATACTCATATAAAAAAAAACTATTTATAGGCCTAATATAATTTCCAAACAATTACATCATGAAGGACAATATAACAATTACTGAAATTAACTTTAAATATATAAAATTCATGACATATCCAGGGGATATCCTGTGCTTCTCAACTGGAATTACTGTCTACACAAATTAAAATCCACAAATGATGAAAAAATTCCTACAAACACAAACTTACAAATTTACATTCAGATTTTATTGCTTAGTGAATGTACATATTTTATGTTTAATTCTTGGTATCACTTAAAACAAATTAATTTCACCCTTTTAGCTGCAAGTACAAGTGTGTTAGTATAAAGCAAAATGCAAAGCACTAGCATTATGAAGGTGACAATTAGCAGTAGAGAAAAAAAGAAAGAAAGAATGAAACAAAGAAACATCGGGAGAGTTCATTCAAAAGTGGAACTAGGGAGTAATCATAATTTGCAATTTCTTTGATGTGATCAATTTTGTTCTAAAGTATCTTTCTTTTTTCATTCTACACACATGCAATACTGAATCTTCCAGCATATGACCCCTCCCTCAAAAATAAATAGGTATGTAGATCCTTTTTTTCTTCTGCATAACATAAACATATCTCACTCTCTATTCTGAAAAAACTCTCCCTTTTACCATAACTTTCACAAAGCTATGCAAAGAGCAATACAGCCATGTTATTCACTATTTCTTCAACATACAGTGCTCCCAGTGTTGTAATACACCGGTCAGTACAATTTCAGATGAGCGTAATACTGTACTTTACACTGACGAAAACAACTGTACAGTGGAATTTACACAGGTGTAAAACAGCACTATTCAGGAAGACAGATCTTTCACATGAAAATCCTTTAATTAATTCAATCTCTGATAAAACTATCATTATATACAAAACATACAAAAAAATTGAAGTAAAAGAGAATAACAACTTCCATAATGACTATGTAAGACTCTCCTACGAGGCTCTGACACCAACACCAAATGCTACGAACATTCCTGGAGGAGGTGTTGCCTACCTGGTCAGCATCGACCAGTAAAAATGCCCGGGGGATTGAGTTCAAAGCAAGAGAGTCCTGCAAAATAGACTCATGTGTGAAAGTCTATCATTCCAACTGGCATGAAGTGTAGTTGAACTGTCTTGATTTTCCATGAACACAATCACAAACTGGTTGCAAACGTCTATTTCATCAGTGGAAGGGAAAATGAAGATATTTCAGCTGATAACAATACACAATGCACGATCAACCCCTCATGGACAACAGAGAATATTATCACAACAAAGACCTTCTCTGATATGAATCAAAGAAAGAAAGCCCAAATTGAAAAAATCTAGTGATTATTCTAGTCTTTGTCTGTAATAAGTTATGTATTTCTTGTCATTTCTCTTTTTGTTTGTTTATCATTGGAGATTAAAAAATGCAGAGGTGTCTCAGACTGTCTCAAAAGTCTAATAACAACTCTGGTAATATATCTTGTTCAACAGCTACAATCAGCAAAACAGAAATATATGAAGTAAAATTAGGAACTCCTTCACCATTACAAATGGTAGCATACATTCTACAAATTTACTGGGATAACCAGCAATTATCATGAACGTGATAATAGTAGTCATTACTGATAGCAATAGTAATAATAATGATAAATACCATTAATACAATCACTGCTACTACTAGTACCACAATCATTTTCATTTCAATCATCTTCACCATTGTTATTATCATTATTATAACAACGATAACAATGATGATAATGGTTAGCATCCCGTTTTTCCTTTGGTAAGCAGGCACATTACTTGAGGTGCAACTCTGTGTATCAGCCTACATAAAGCCTTAAAAGAGCCAGTCAGAGTAATGCTTCTACGTCCACATGTATTAGGCAATACATGAAGCTCAAATATCTAAAGTAAAGACAATAATACAATGCAAGAACTGATGAAGTACATCCATAAGGGGTCAATTTGCAAGATTATTTAGGAAATTTAAATAATAATGACAATAATAATAATAACAATAATAATAATAATAAAATGGGAATACTCTGCTTACCTTGTCATGAAGAACAAACTCTATGCCGAAGACTGGACATTGTGAATACACATTGTACAGTGAAGATAACTCCTTGTGTACTTCATGAAGCTTTTCAACAGGGTCAATTCTGAAGCCAAGCACATAACCTCCGCTGGCTTCTGTGCTTTCAACCACCAGTGCCATGCCAAACTTGGATTCACGGACTTTTACCTAGTTCAAGTTATTAAAATGAGCGTAAGGCTTCCATGATCCTATATATATTACAAGGTGTCTGATAATCTTTCTACAGGTAGTCTCCTTTTTTTTGGTTTTACTATTTCAGTTTAATTTAAAACAATTAAGCCAGCTTAAGACCATCATAT